AGTTCACCTTTTTCTGCCTTGGTTTCCACTTTTGCAAAACAAGTTTCATAGTATGATGTACCGTGTAAGCTTCCTATGAATATTAGATGAAATCAGCATGGAAAGTCTTACAACTGGAACATAGAATTCGATTAACAGTGCTTTTGCAACAAGACGAGAGAAGCACACCTTTATGGATATGACACGTGAGGAGTCTATTGACATATATTTCTTCATATTTGCATTGTGTCATATTGCTTCAAATGGGAAGGTTGGGGCTTACAGTGCTTAGTGACCCCGCAGTATGGTGTTTAAGGATGTTCTCTTTGAATTGCACTTGCTGGAATTATGAATTTCCAAGAAAGTTCACCGATTTGAATGGAGCCAATTTCCTTTTTTCATCCCAGCAAGAAACTACTTAGACTTGTGGATATCCCTAGAAATAGACGCAATTAAGAAACATGATAATGGAAAGAGCAAAGCCAGCCTAATTTATAAATTTTATGTTTTACTGAAGCTGTCCAACAAAGTATTCATAAGTGATTCTGAATTTATTTTCTGTAATGGTGATTCTCAAACATTTTTAGACCAGGGACCACTTCAGCAAGGGCAAATGATACTTAAGAGTAGTAATGAATGTAATACACCTTCACTTCCCATTTAGAATAGAGCAATTATTCCTGATACTCTGCTGGGTATATTATATTTGTTACATTATTGGATCCTAACCCCAATTCCAGATTTTCTTTCTGCTGATTGATCCAATCCATTATGACCCCGTTATTTGTCCTGAAACCCCACTTGGTGGTGATCTTGTTTTTACGTATTCCCATCTCAGGTAGATCTTTTGTTGCTTACACAATGTCCTCAGCCAGCAATTCTCCTCCTATAGAACTATTTATACAAACGCCACATTGCCCTTCGGCTTTGACAACCACAGGGAGCTCTCCTAATTGTCCCAGCTGCAAAGGAGCTTCAGTGAGTTCCTGGGTTGCTTTTCTTTGGAAGCTTTATTACAATTTCTACTGCTTTGTCCTTGTATCCCACTTATTTGTGCACACATCTTCTCTTCCCACTGAATTGTAATCTCTTGGGGAATAGGAACAATGTCTTCTGTTTCTTTTTTCTAGCATAGTCCTGACATATATATGGGCAGTCAACATATAAATGTTGATTAGTGAACCCTTCAAACCAACACATTCCTTTAAGAATCACTTTCCTCTTGATAAATTTTGATTCTCCTGAAGGGAGTTATTAAAATCTCCCTTGGGGAGAAAGACATTTTCAAATACTCCTTGCTTATCCTATAGGTTCTAATACAATCAGTTACATAATATACTACTTTTCCATCCAACTACCATTTGTGAACCATGTGGAGACAAAAGTCAAATAACAACTCTTAGACAAGAGTTTAAAAGAACTGATTCTGAATCTATCCAGATATCTTTTTTAGATAATTATAGAATATCTATGAAATACTCCATTTTTAAAACAGTACCATGTATTTCCAAATTGGGAATAACACCAAAGTAAGTATTTGAAAGTGTTCTGCCCTGGATCTTGAAAATGGGTTGAATAGTAGTATTTAGATAGTAGTGTTGCTTCAGCATGTTAATTTCCAGGATAATACTATGTTTATTTTTTCTTGTTAATTAGAGAAGCAAATGCGAGTATTTTCTGTCTCAGAACATTTTTGCCTGTAATTCTGGAAAAATCTCATTATACTTTTGTATTACAGATTCAAGAATAAATCACTGTGAGAAAAAAATGGTAATGAGCACATTATCAACTTTTTGTAGCATTTAATTTGGCTTTTCTGCTATCATTTTTCATCCCAAAGAAATAATGAAAGATCTCAAACTCAGCAGAATTCTTTTGCAGAATCAATGATGTTCTTTTTTACCACCTTTTCTGGGTGGTCTAATGGTATAAACATCCAGGTAGAGTGAGGAGTTCTGAATTTTACTATTAACTTTTTGCCCCAATTTTTTCTTCTCTTATATAAATTGCACAAATATTTATGCTGTGTGGTTGAGTTTTCACTAATCTGTATTATCAAAACAATAATGTCTTATGATTTTATTAAGAATGTTTATACAAAAGATGTGATGTTGATATTTACATATATTTATCCATGTACATTATGTTTCAATGGTCCTGTGGATTTTCAGGAATGTTACACTGCTTTACTAGTTGTTGTGTTTTTTATGTTTTTAAGTAATAAGAAGAAAATGTGACTATTTCTTTAAAAAATATTCTCTGAATATTTTCTAAGATTCTTGCTAATTAAATTCATTTGCTCACTGTTCACTTATAATAATTAAGTTAAAATCTAATTGGGAATGCATTTCTCAGACTAGAAAGAAGCAAAAAACTACTGATAGAAAGTTTGAGCCAACCATGGTATCATTACTTCAAATGAGAAAGTAAAAAAGAGTTTAGTTTATTTTTCTTTTTAGGGAGGAAAGATGATGACAAATTGAATGCTTTATATTTTAATAAGAAATACAATTGTTAATCATTTGTAGTCATGTTTAGGAACTGTGTAGAACTTGCTTACTTGCCATGGCTATAGGAAGAGATTTTTTAGAAAGAATAACAACCCACTTTGATACAATGAGTATTTTTTGAAATAGCTAGAAGGGTTTTCAATAATCAAACATTTTTTCAATAATCAAACATTATAGGATAAGTTCTATTTCAAAGTAAATTTCTCTATGCTAATAGAGCTTGACCTATACAGAATGAAATCAAATACACTGGTTACTTACAGGAAAAATAATAGTGAGAAAATAATTTATGAAATCTATCACTAGAGACACACATAGTCAACATTGCATGATGTTTTTGAAACCATTGTCTTCTATATTTCTAGAGTTAATGATTCCTTCAAGTGTGGTAGACTTCTTTGTTAAAGTATGTTTTGATTTTTTAAAAAAAGTGGTGAGAGGAGAAGATAGAGGGAAAAGTATGAAATAAAAGTCTTGCTAAGAGTTGATTAGCTTAAAAAATCACTCAAAAAACAATTATACTAACTCTGTGTGTCATTCAAGGTGCTGTTGCACAGTCTGATCTGGCTTAAAGCAGAAGGGTAGCAGAGTGAAGTGGAAGAATCATGGTTTAGAATTCAGCAAAACTTGAAAGAAATTTTGGCTTTGCCTCTTCTTTCAGTACCATGAGTAATGTTATATAATTATAAGACTTTCCACTCACTAAATAGTGAAAGAGACTAAATAATAGGGAATGAATTTGGTTTCTTTCTCTAAGATGGGGATAATAATAATTTTCTTAAAGAGTTATTCTACGAATGAGAGATCATGAACACATTTGAAAGGAAATAGAATAGTTGGTATCAGTTGTCATGATTATTTAAAACCAATGGAGAGTCATATATTTGAACACTTATGTCCCTGTTAATTTACCTAATTTTCCTTCCCAGACACACATGTTTGTTGATGGAGACAATTTATCACTCGATAATTACAGATTCTTTCCAAAATTATGTTAATGAGAAGCCAATACAGTAATTTTGATAGTAGAAGGAATCTTGTATGTCTTATCTTCAATATAATGTAATTATTACCAAAGAATCAAACACTTTTAATATATAAAAATACTGGTTAATGATATTGTTACATTAGGAAGTCATATAGAAGGAGTACTATTGACTTTTTCATACCACGTAGCTTTGGAAAACTTACTTTTCCCAGCACACACAGATTTACATTCCATTTTGCTTTGAAGGATTTACATTTCTACTTCCACCACTTTTTTTTTTTTTTTAATTTTTCAATGGACCATTTTTGAGCCATTGATCTCTTTTTTTGAGACTGGAATGTATTTCATGGAATGTAATGAAATGCAAGAGTGATAGTAAAATGCATATCTCACAAATATTAAAAGTCGAAACATATAAATTCATTTTGTGAATTTACATTGGAATATACATTGACATCCTCTCACACTGAGGGATTTTTTTAAATGTTTTTATTTATTTCTGAGAGAGAGAGAGACAGACAGTGTGAGCAGGGGAGGGTCAGAGAGAGAGGGAGACACAGAATCTGAAGCAGTCTCTAGGCTCTGAGCTAGCTGTCAGCACAGGGCCCAACACAGGACTCGAACCCACGAACCATGAGATCATGACCTAAACCGAAGTCGGACACTTAACCGACTGAGCCACCCAGGAGCCCCAAGGATTTTCTTTTCATGTGTCTTCATCACGGGGGCCAATACATTGGCAAAATATTGGAAGAGATTCTCCAGAAATCTCTAGATATTTCAATTTTTGCCACTATTTGTGGGAACTCTGGAACTATCAGAGTCATTGAAATTTTTAGATGGAAGATGCTTAAGCAGGTAGGACCTCCTTAGCACATTAGTATTTAGCCATTGAAGCATATATTTGATTTTTGTTATAACTTTGCTCACAAAAGCAAAACCAAATTGTTTTATTTTGGAGTTCAGTTTCTAAAAGACATTTCATAAAATGTCATGGAGATTTTAGAAGAGCTTAAACATCAAAACATAAATTATCTATATTAGGAAACTTTCATAAATAGTGTCATTAAACAGGAAATTCACAATGAGATTTTGGCTTAAGTTTTTAAGAAAACACACCTATGCTTTTTCCACATTAGATACTAACTCATTGACAATCAGCCATGCTTTTGCCATAGTATGGTCTCCAGTGGTTGTGAGCAGTTGCTAAAGAAAGTCATCCACACCCTTTTGACTCTTCACATTGTGAAATTAGTTGAATAAATATTGTCTTTTCATACACCTGATTATGAAATGGAAGGAAAATTAAGAAGTCTAGTTTCTTTATTGCTTATCTATTAAGTTCTTTTTCTCTCCTTTCTTCCCTAGCAAAGAGTTGGAGCTGTGGGTTAAACAAGCAAAAATAAAAAAGTAACAACAGAAGTATGCCTCCCCTCTGTGTAATTGGCTTGGGGAATTAAAAGCAATTGAAATGTTAAGAGTTCTAAGGTTTTCTCTTCCATTCTTCCTTATCCTTTCCCCAGGCTCCTCACCCAGCGCTGGAGACATGGTTCATCACTGTGGCCCCAGGAACTTCTCATTCTTGACACCAGGGCTGGATCCTGGGCTGCCCTGCTTCTCTGAAGGTATTTGTCCTCAGAAGAAAGCTGGGAGGAGGGCTCTGTTGAAGGTCTTTTGGTGTAAAGTCAGCTTCTGAGTTAAAAGCCCATTAGTTACCCCTCCAAATGTCATCAAGAATAGCTGCTATGTGATGGCAACTTCCTATAAGCAATTGTCTTTGGCCTTCTGTAACTGAAACGATATTCAGCTGGGAGAGAGTTAATTTGAGCTTTAATTATATTGATGGCCAAATTAACCTTTCAGGGAGATGTGGTAATATAGAAATTGAAGATCTGATACCAGATTCAGTATACAAATCTCTGTCAGTGAATACAGCTGGAATATTTAGCTGAATAAAGCTTTAGAAATTACTTCAGTACAATGTACCATAGAAGTAAATGAATTAAGGAGGCAAGTGTCTACTTCAATATTATGCAGTTTTTTCATGAAGGCTACGAAAAAGAAACATATTTTCATTTATCATAATTATGGACAGTAGTGAAGACTATATCAACTTGCATCATCGGTAAATGGCTTCATTGCCCAATCTCATCAACAATGCTTGTGCTACAGGGGGTGCTCTGAGAAACGATTTTTATGTAAGGCACCAGTTAGTCTGGGGTAGCACAATTTAAAAGCCAATAAAACTAGTCTGACACTGTGACGTTCTATCATCCAGCCACGAGACACATTTTATCAGAGGCAGCAGATAAATATCAATAGGATTTGTTTAAGCTGGCATTGAAACATAGCCCATTTATCTCTCCAAATTATGCCAAGATCAAATACACTGAGTGAATTATTATTGAATGTGAACTAAATTGTGGCATAACTAGAAAGATCATATTTCCCCAAACATATAATCCATCACTGAACTGTTAGATGCAGTGCACCCCACTTAAAAGAAATCCATTCTTCAGGATCTACTTGTTAAAAACGACTACTTAACAGAAAGTAACATATACCAGTGTGGGTGCTGGTAAAGGAGAAGACCAACCCAGGACTTTTCCAATGCTTAAAGTCACATCACTTAAACATGTTTAAAAATAGAAACTTGGGGCACTGGGGTGGCTCAGTGGATTGGCCATCCAACTTTGGTTCAAGTCACGATCTCACAGTTTGTGAGTTTGAGGCCTGCGTGGATTCTGTGCTGACAGCTCAGAGCCTGAAGCCTCTTTCAGACTCTGTCTCCCTCTCTCTCTCTCTCTGCCCCTTCCCTGCTCATCTGTCTCTCTCAAAAGTAAATAAATATTAAAAACAATTATAAAAATAGAAACTTAACCAAGAAGTTACATTATTCTTGGTTTAGATTTTAGTTGCAGTTGGAAACAAATGCATCACCATAGATTGAATGTAAATATGTAGTTTATAGTGGGGGGGGGGGAGGGAAAACTGGATTCAGTGATACTTTCAATGAAAAATCTGAAAGAAATCATAATTGCCCCTAAAATATCTAAAGATAGATAGATACCTTTAGCTAAAGGTAGCCCATCTTGGTTAATACATTCATGAATCTCAACACAATTTCATGGAATCCCAGGGTTACATGGAAAAGAATTTCTGAAACTTAAAGCGGGCAACCCAGTTCTAGAAACGTTTCTTTGTTTTTCTTTTTTTTTTTTTTCCCCCTCTAACCAACAGAAAACTTCCTTTAAAATAAACACAATTGAGAGATAAGAAACAGTTCTCAACGATTAGCTTTTAATTTATGACCTTTGAGTTGTAAAAGAAATTTTTGACAGGAACTCTATTTAGAATTAGAGAGATTCTGTCTTATCTTGACAGGAAGGAAATGACCGCTCAGTCTCTACCTTCCCTGGTGCCTAGCAGAGGAGATAATGTATGTGGAAGTTCTCAGAGTCTGTAAAATGTTGTATAAATGTTATATTTGTTAAAAAATCAGTCAGTCCATAGGGTCCATTTACCTTTTTGGTGATTCTATGCCCCACAATTTTTTTTCTTCTTTTCCCTGCCTGTTCCCAAATGAATTAAAGAAATTTAAAAAGCTGCCTGATGCTAATAAATTGCAGCTTCTTAACCTGACAAGGGTAGAGGAACCACTAATTTAACACAAGGCAGCAATGCAAATGCTTACCTAGCTCTGTTCTTCATGGGCCCTCAACCCAGTTTCAAGGATGGACCAGTACCATTATCATAGAGTGACATGACTCCTTCATTCATTCAGAGAACATATTTTCAGGGGTTTTTTACGTATGAGGCACTATTCTAGGAGCAGGGGCATCAGCAGTGCACCAATAAGAAAACAAGACAAAACAAAACAAACTCTGCTGTCACGGAGCTTACATTACATTGCTTAGGTATTTTATTATTTTTCAGGAAAGATTCTCTCTTGGATGAAAATACTCCGTTTTTTAAGTGACCTGCACTTTCTATGCTTCTTTCCGTGAGTAATAATCTGGCAGGTGAGTAAAGAGTCGCGTTGTTTTTTTTTTTTTTTTTAATTTTTTAAAGTTTTGGTTTTTTTGGTTTTTTATTTTTATTATGTATTGGTTTCAGATGTGATGTCTCTTGTCTACTTAGTAGGACGGTGAGAAAGACAAGTCCTGTAAATTACAGTGGGGTTAGAACTGTGATGGAGACATTATACACAGGGCTACCACAGCGCACAACCCCAGGACCGGCGTTCACATAAACTGTGGTGTGAATAGCGCCCCCTAGCGTTATGCAGTGCATGACCTGTGGGGTCTTAACGTGGTGGCTTCTATAACAGCACAAAACAGGGCTATGAGATTCAGGCCTGGGGATTAGAAGGAACAAATACATACAATGAGACCTGAACCGTGGGCCAAAGTTAGCTGGAAAAACGTGGAGGAAGATGAGGAAACAAGGATGAGGTGAACAAGGAAGGCATGAAAGAAGTAGACTTGAGCTGGAGCGCTAAGAAGAGGAAAGAACGATGAGAAGTGGGGAGAAGGAAGGAGGCAAACATATTATAAAGGACTTTGTAACCCTATTGAGATGGCTGACCTTTATCCTAAGGACCAGTGTGCACTGTTTAAGATTTTAAGCTGGGGGGTAATGTCAAAGGCAGATTTGCTGATTAGAAGCATTGCCTTTGGGATTTACTCAGTTAGATTTGCTTGTTAGCTGGATTGCAGAGAGAAGATGGGTAGTTAGGAAAATGTGGCAATAATCTGGGCCAAAGATAAGGGGGCCTGGGCATGGTTCACATTTGTCATGGAGAGAGAAGGAAGGCTGACATAAATATTTGACAAGTGGGGCTGAGAGTACTTTGTGGATTAGATGTGGGGATGGAGGAAAAAGAAAGAGATAGGGATGGTGTTCTCTCCTGCTCCCAGTAATGTGTTAGATGTCTGAACCATTCTCTGAGAGAGGATCCTGAGGCGGGCATGGAGGGAGGGCTGGGAGAAAAGATGAGTTCAGTCCTTCACGTGTTAGGTTTAAGTGACTGCCGGGCACCCAAGTGGACTGTCTAGGGAACTACCATGACTCACAGCTCTGATATCCAAAGAAGCATCTGGGAGAGAGAGACAGAGTCGAGAAAGGGGGATAAATTTATAGACGTTAACTAAAACCATGCTAATGGGTACAATTTCCAAGAGATAAATGGCTGTACATGTCTTTTAGATTATTGCAATAACTTGATTAAATAACTACCCAGAAAATGCAAACATATAAACCATATTTTGCGTTTGGCATTTATGAACGTCTGGAACTGGGGGCAATTGGTGGTAGTTTTCAACTGTCTGCTTTCACTGCATATATGTGTAACCATAAGTAACATAGCATTGAAATGTGTGCTTTATAAAGGGTGTTTTGTAAAGGGCGTCATGCGGTCCTCATTTCTCTGACTTGCTTTTATTCAATGACTTAATGATTTCAACACATAATGGATTGAATTCACTTAATTCGTTGCTTTATGCTGTTCTATGTGAAAATAAGACACCATTCATGTAATCTCTTATTGATTGGTTATTTCTAACATAGCACTTGTATTAGGAAGGTATAATGAGCTTGCCTACATATGGTTCCTTGTACACCAGTGCAAGAGTCTATCCCTGGTATATACTAATAAGTTGCTAAGCCAAAACTTTTGAACACTTATTACATATTTCCAAATTGCCCATCTCATTTGACCAATTTATCTTCCAATAAACATTATATGAGATTTATTTCACATTTTCCCCAACACTTGGCATTATCAGACTTTTGCATCTTTGACAAGCTAATGAATATGACATGCTTTGCTTTTGTTTTCTTTTTTTAATTTGGTTTAATTTGAATATTCATGTTCATTTCTGAGCATAAACATTTTTCATTTGTTCATTGGTCCCTTGGATCACTTAGTCTCTCCATTTATGCTTTATCCATTTATTGATCGGGGTGGAATTTTTATTGATATAAACTACATATTATAAATAATCATTTTTGATTCCTTGTATATGAGGAAAATATATCTTTCCATTCTGTGCCTTCTTATTTTTTATATTTATTTAAGATAGCTTTGGTAAAGTAAGTCAGTCTTTTCTTTTATGTTACTGTTTTTCGGTAGTCTTCTTTGAAAGAAAAATTTTCCATGTCATAAAATTACAAATGCAGTCTCTTAAATTTTCTTCTAAATATTACTGAATTTTTGCTTTTAAGTTTGAGTCTTTAGGCCATCTGGAATGTCTATGTTTGGGTTAAAAGGTAGTTTTTCTTCATAATCAGAGCAACATTTTAAACAATATTTTTAATAATCTAGCCATGTCCTGAGTGAACTCTAATAATTAGTCAGGTCCTCTTCACTAATATGTAATGCCATTTCTGTCACATAACAAGATTCTATATAGTCAGGGATCTCCATTGTGTTTCATTATTATACTTGTCTATCCCTCTACCAATACCAAAATTTTAATTACTGCAACTTTATAGTAAGTCTTAATATTAAATGTAGGGCTTCTTGAGACAGAGTTTTCCTTCTGTTCCAAAATATATTGGTTATTCTTGGCCTTTTGTTCTTTCATGTCACTGTATGATTTCCTCATCAAATTCCATGAAATTCCCAGTGTGGAATACATTGAATTTGTAGATGAATGTGGGTAGAACTATTTTGTTAAAGGTGTACTTTTTGTAAGTTTGTTTATTTTGATGGAGAGAGAGAGAGAGCAAGGAGGGAGGGGCAGAGAGAGAGGGAGAGAAAGAATACCAAGCAGGCTTCACGCTGTCAGCACAGAGCCCTACATGGGGCTTGATCCCACAGACTGTGAAATCATGACCTGAGCTGAAATAAAGAGTCTGACACTCAACTGACTGAACCATTCAGGCTCCCCTAGAACTATTTGTTTTTAATTAAAAAACATTTTGAAGAAATATACATTTGAAAAACAAGAAGTGCTCTATTTTACTAGACTGTTATCCTTAGGGACAGGGGCAGATTCCTATTTACCTTTGTACCAATACTAGCCAACAGTTGCTGAATAAATATTTTCTAATTATCTGAAAGATTGAATAAAGAAATGAATATAAGTTTCTTTATGTTCTTATTAGCAGTGAAGCTCAGTTACATCTGTAACAAATGACTAATAAGGAATAAGAATGGCTTAATTTCTTGGTTCCTTAATTCATTATGATAGACTCCCATTATTCCTGCTGACAGTGACAAGAAAATGTCTTGAAAATTAAATTTATAAGAGGTTTTGTCATTTCCTTGTAAGGAAGACTTTGACATACAGGTCATGAATCTGGGAAACAGCTTGCCTATATTCTTCCATGCAACACCTTTTATTGGATGCCTACTAAATTCCAGGTATCGTTTTAGGTGCTAAAGATAAAGCAGTGAGTAAAAGAGGGGAGGAAAATCTCTGATTTCTTGGGCTTGGATGCTAGAGGAGGTAGGGATTAAAAATTTAATGAGTAATTCAGTTACATTGTGTGTTAAAGGCACTGTGTGGTGTGGGAAAAAATAAAGCAGGATAGAGTTGAAGCTGAGAGGGGTGCACTTTTATATAGCAGACAGGGGTAGTCCACACTGAGTAGATGGCAATGAGTTGAAGGAAGGGACAGAACAAGACAAGAGACATCTGGAGACAGTATTTCAGGTAGAGCCAGTATGCAGTGCAAATGTCAGAGGCAGGGCCTTGTCGAGGAAGTCAGAAGAATAACAAGGAACATAGTATCACTAAAGTAGAAGTGACGAGGGGGAAGAACAGTAGGAAAATGAGGATTGGGGACATGGGACTGGCTTCGCAGGACATTGGCTCCTAGCTGCATAAACCTGCCTTCTAGTCAAAACTGTTCAAATCACTATTCTTTAATTTTTTTAATGTTTATTTTCGTTTTGAGAGAAAGAGACTGTATGAGCAGGGGGAGGGGCAGAAAGAGAGGGAGACACAGAATCCAAGGCAGGCTCCGGGCTCTGAATTGTCAGTTCAGAGCCTGACTGGAGACTTGAACTCACAAACCATGAGATCATGACCTGAGCTGAAGTCAGACACTTAACTGACTGAGCCACCCAGATACTCCTCATAATTATTTTAAATGACAGCAAAGGATGTGACTTCTGGTATATTGTAAATACTTAAAAGCAACTGCTACATCACTCTGAAATGTGATGAACTCCTACTGCCTTTGCAGTTGGTGACATGGTCACAACCTCATCCTTTCAAATGATACATAAACAAGCTCTTTCAACAGTTGAAAATTTTAACTGTTTAAATGTTAATTTAAATGTTATTTAAATTCAAAGAATGATCTCTATCTTTTTGAATTGTTATTTCATTCCAAACTCTCTGTAGTCTTATCTTTATGTAATATAAACCTATGCTTTAAAGTCTTTTGCTGATCATCTTAGCATATTTTGCTACATGAGAAAAATAGTACTAGCAATAGTAGAATTTCCTGTGACTATGATGCCCTAAGTGTTAAAATATATTTTCACAATTAAGTTACATTTACAGTAGTAAAAATATACAATTAATCAAAACAACATAAATAGGAAACAAGTTTTAATAGGGTAATGTTTAACATAAAATATAATTTCTTACTGCAAGTGGTTTTGACGTAAGTGGGTTTCTTCTTAAAATGAAACAGTTTTAGTGGAGCACGTGGGTGACTCAGTTGGTTAAGCACCTGACTAAGGTTCAGGTCATGGTATCCATGTTCATGAGTTCAAGCCCTACTTTGGGCTGTTCATGTGAAGCCTGGCTGGGATCCTCTGTCCCCTTCTCTCTGCCCCTCCCCTACTCATATTCTCTCATTCTCTCTCCCTCTCTTCTCTCTCTCTCTCTCAAAAATAAATAAACATTAAAAATTTTAGGGGTGCCTTGGTGGCTCATTTGGTTAAGCATCCAACTTTGGCTCAGGTCATGATCTCATGGTTTGTGAGTTTGAGCCCCACATTGGGCTCTGTGCTGACAGCTCAGAGCCTGGGGGCTGCTTTGGATTCTGTGTTTTCCTCTGCTCCTCTCCCACTCACACTCTGTCTCTCTCTCACATAAAAATAAATAAACATTAAAATGTTTTTAATTAAATAAAAAAACTGAAACTGGTTCAGGATCAATGTCATTCCTATTTTTCCTTTCAGTTTTCTTTGAGGCAGAAGGCATAAATGCTGAGAAATGCATTCATGTAAATCAAAATTATGGGAATAAAAGGATTTTTGTTAGAACAATATTCCTCAATTCTTTAAATTCCTTCAGAATTATATGCCAGAGTTACATGGTGATACATTGTAAATATTTCTAATGATCTGTCATCGAGGAATTTATTCGGATCCTCTTTCAAGTTCATTAAAAGCAGATAATTGGTCACTCACATTGCAGGAAGAGTTTTTAAACTGAGTCTTTAGAGCAATTCACTTTCTAAAAACCAACACCAATATGCTGAAATATTCCTTTGTGTGACAGAGATTTTCCTTCCCTGAGACAATGCATCATAGTAAGAGTTAAGATGAGTGAAAAGGACAGTTATAAGGAGGCAGTTCAAGTGGGAGATGGACAGCCGTAAAAGGAGAATGGGAAAACAATAATCCTCTTACTTCAGGAATGTTCACAGATCAGATTTAGGACAAATATTCATATGAAGTTTAGGATCCAGAGTATGAGTTTCTTACAGTTTCTGTGACTTATTTAGCACCTGGGGAAACTTTTGTCTCCCTGGGCTCTGCATGTGCCGGATGGAGACAGTTCCACTAAATCATCTCCTTGCCATCACTGAAGTAAGAACACAATACCAGTCATGTCACTTTAGATTATTCTAGAAGTGGGGTAAAGGTTGTCATAAAGTGGTAGGGAAACAGTGTGAAAGAGTTAATGCAAGAGTAATGGAAGTGATTGCCATCATTTATTGTTAATGTAAATACTGACGTACCATTCCAGAAATACAAATCTAGCAAACAGATATTTCCTGCTAATCAAACATTCCAGCAAACCACACTGGAAGTTATGCTGCTAATGTAAAATTATTTTCAATCTTGAAGGCAAATGGACATTGTTTCAAAAACTTGTTATCAGAAAAGACTGCATCCTTTTCTTCAACTATTCAATTTATTTTTCAAACATTACCTTTTAATGCAATTATGAGAGAAGAAAATATTCTCATAGACAAAGTATACTCACCATGTTTCAAGAAATCAAATATAGAAGAAAATGAGAAACTTTTCTAGGAAAAACAACATTGGAATAATTTCCTAATAGGCTGAAACAGACACTGATTTGTAGATCATATGTAGACAACATTTGCTCCCTAGTTCTTCCTTAGATTATTTAATCTAAGAAAAATCTAAGAAAAATCCCCTTCCCCCTCACCAAATGGAAATGCCTGTGTAAAGCTACTTTGATATCTCTAGCTAATAAGGTATCGGAATACGTTATAACTCTTACGCACTATATTAAAATTTCAGTAAGCTGACTGAAATCGTATTCCCTACTCCATCTTTTCTTTAGTACTTACAGGAAACATAAATACCTGCATCCACTAACTCTTCATTCCGTGTTTTGAAACATTGCTGGGTCAGGTTCAGTATACTCAATAGGTACCCTCTACACACTAATTCCAGTGACCAAACATGTCTTCTTTTGTGCCATGGGGCATGGCTGCTTGCAGTGATGTGTTAGTGGCCAGTGTCTGTCTGCACACCGCCCAGAACCTTCTGACTCCATGTATAACTATGCTGTGATGGAAAAAGAGTGCGAGAGTGCTGTAGGGGGTGGTGTAGTGTCTACTCTCTGAACATATTCTGAGTAGATGACAATTTCCTTTCATTACAAATATTCCTGAGAATAACTCTAAGGATGTTTCAAAACAGAATGTCCATTGTTTTCAAAAGCTCTGCTCAAACCGTGCTTATCCCTCTGTGAATCTTGACCGTATAATGTGTGTGAAAGGGTAGAGAAGGAAAGGAATAGAGCACGAAGTAAAAGTGAATGCTCCCCTCTGGAAAAGCCTACAGCTTTCTCAACCGTGTCCTCCCCTGCTATCAACTTGTCTTTCCTCAAAGAACCACCAGAACACCTTGCTCAGGAATTCCCAACTTCTCCTGCATTTTCCTTAAAAGTGCTATTTCTGAGGTTTATACAGTCATTTTTTTGAAATTTATGAAAAATAAAACAAATTTTTTAAAGCAACTCCATTTTGCAACTACTTAAGAAATGAAAACTTTGAAACCTTTGAAAAATTAACTGCTTACTCGAAGCAGAATACTGTCATAATATATATCATCATAAGTCTATTATAATAAATGCTACTGTAATGAAGTACAAATACCTTAATTTGGCTTATCTCGCCCTTCGGATTTGAATCCTGAATCTCTCTCTAGTATTCGCCACCATTTTCCCTCACCCTCACAACTTCCCAGATATACTCACCTCTTTTGGTTTCTTCATTGTTGCCAAGATGCTTTCCTCTTCATCCCAGAAATCTACTAGCCATTTCTTCACTTAATCCCCACCCTGTTTTACACCCTTGCTCCCATACTGGCATGCCGGAGAACTTTCCCAAACATCCCTTTTAAAAGAGTTTCCCCAACTACTCTTTGTCTAAGAACTCTATTTCTTTTATATAAATGATGACAACTGAATGAGTTCATTTATTTGTATGTTTATTTTCCTGTAAGGGGCAAGGGCCTCATTTGTCTCATTCACTCGTATATGCTCAGAATGTAGAATCATACATGACCCAAGGCAGGTAGTCAAACCTATTGGTGCATGACGGAATGCAAAATAAAATTATTAGACCAAAGATACAAAAGAATAGTTGATGTAAACAAACAAAAAAAAATTATCCAAATGAGACCATGTGTTTTCAAAGTGCTCACAAATGTGTTTTACATATATTTCAGTCTATTTTCTTATACAGTAAAACCTTGGATTGTGAGTAACTTGTTCTGGGAGTGTTCCACAAGATGAGCAATCTTCTAACAAATTTTAACTTGGTCAATGAGCAATGTCTTCTAATACAAGTAGTATGTGATGCCGAGCTTTGCATGGTCACAACTGAGGCAATGGTTCTTCTTTCTCACTCTCTCTTGCTGTGGGATTGTGGGTGATTGTCTCCCATGCTCAGATGCTCAGTCTCAGGACACGGTGTTTGGCAGAAGTCAGTGATTTTTCAGAATGTCGGAAGGTGCCTACAACTGACACTAGTGTATTTTTTGTCACTTCAAAGAACCTATGGAGAGTCCTTTTCTTTTCCATAGAAGAGTAAAGTTAGGAATGCTTGGCTTCCTTCTAGGTCAGGCTGCCTGCAGATATAGACCCTTTCCTCTTCTGCCTTATTGCCAGTTGCATTAAATACAGTTTATGATAAAAGTTTTAAATACTGTACTATAGTCAACATTCGTGCAAGTGTATACAATGGCTGAGATGCAGGTAAAGATTCCATTGAGCCAATAGATAGCAGTGATTCTGTTAGTGATAGTGAAAGTCATCCTACACAATAACCCTCCTCTCTCTTATCTCCCTCACACCAGCCACAAAGGTTTTTCAAAGGTAAGCGCAGGGTAATTTGTTTATTTTTCTTTATATTTTGTAGTTTCTATATTATTTTTTATTCATTACAGTATTGTAATCATTTTTATATGAATATTTTTGGGTTGTGGAATGAATCATTAAGTTTTCATTATTTCTTATGCTAAAATTCACTTTGATATACAAGTGCTTTAGATTACAAGCATGTTTCCGAAATTAATTATGCTCATAAACTGAGACTCTTGAATGCTGACAAAAACTGAGGACTGATGGATGTGGGGGGGAGGGGGGATGGGCATGGAGGAGGACACTTGTGGGGATGAGCACTGAGTGTTATGTGGAAACTAATTTGACAATAAACTATTTGTGGAAAAAAAAACAAAAAACAAACATGAGTTCATATTGGTATTTTCAGTTGAATCTTAATGCTACAGCGTTTTTACCTAATTCTTTACCTCTGTCCCCTTATCTTTTATCTTACAATATAAAGAAATGTTTTTAAAAACAATACCAATATTACTATTAAAAGAAATTTTAGAAGACTTTTGTAGATTATTTTTTCTTAGAATGCATCCCAGTAAGAATGTGCAGTCAAGGTACATNGGGGGGAGGGGGGATGGGCATGGAGGAGGACACTTGTGGGGATGAGCACTGAGTGTTATGTGGAAACTAATTTGACAATAAACTATTTGTAAAAAAAAAAAAAAATTATGCTCATAAACCAAGGCTTATTCTATTGAGATATCTATCTCCTGCTCTGCTGTGTTCATACATGTCTGTCATCAGGATAGCAGCTTACGTATGCTGCCATGATGAACATGGCCTGAGATATAGTTCCTGATCCAGCAGTTTAATGGAAATATATTTGGATGGTCCAGCCTTTCACTAGAAAATGTGCACCTCTACCTTCCCCCATCTCAATAGGCTCCAGCATCTATTTTTCCACCTTAATGTTCAAAATATCTAACCAGAGCTGGCCTTCTAGGAGGAACATTGACAGATATTTTCAGAAAGAACTTTGACGTGGCATAATGATTTATGCTTCTTAGTTTGGGTCAGGAATTTCAGTACCTAACTGTGTTGCGTTACTGCTGTGGAGTTGTTGTGTGTGGTTTTTTGTTTGTTTTTTTTTTTTTAACTTGCAAGGCTAAAATTAACCAAACATTGCCTTAATTTACCCTCCCTTATGTGATGAAGTACATAAAATTCACCTCTAGACTGATGGCCTACTGTCTCCCATGGCTGTTAATAAGTAGAAGGGCATCATTACAGAAGATAGGGGATTTTGCTTGCCTGTTTTCCAACTCTTTAGGAGAACATAAATCTCTCTCGCTCCTGCTGATGAAAAAAATTCATAGCTTTGTCTAAGTCTTCTCACACAAGTGGCTCTTTTACAGAAACTGTTCAAATAATTAGAGATTTTAGGGATAAGAAATTATTAAGTCAAAAATTGTGCTTCTAAAGTAAGTGTTACCTATGCCAGCTTCATTAAATTTTCACCAGGGACTAATAGCTTAATTTGGGCTTCTCTTTCTTTATGTAATTTTGGGATACTGTACTCTTCACAGGGCAATGCCAGCAAGTTGTCATTTTTATTTTAAAACCAAAGGTATTAGTTATTTTAGAAAATCATCTGTCATTAAAGGCTTAGGACGCCTTATGAAGTCATAGAAGAGGTGTTATTTGGGGGCTCTAATAGATGAATCTCTGAATGCCAGATTACTTCCTAGCAAGTCAGAGGTTCTAAAATTAAAGTAACTTCAGTATATTTTAAGAGTTGTTAGTCAAAATTGGCCTCTTGCAATCTTTTCAGTAAAGGCTGAAAAATTAACTACATAGATTTTTTTTCATTAGGCCTGTAATATTCTGTATTGTGTGTGTTAGTGTCAGAGAAAGATTTTTTTTCAATATGTATATGATAATTAGAAGTGTTTGGATTACCAAGAGTTTCACTTTTCCTTTGTTTTTAAAATTTATACCATCAAAATGAGAAAAGAATATGAAAATAGAAATGTTTACATTTATATGCATATATTTATATTTTATTTATCTTATATGTATTATTTTTTAAATTTTTTAAATTTTCCATTTATTTCTGAGAGAAAGAGAGACACTGTGAGCAGAGGAGGGTCAGAGAGAGAGGAGGGAGATACAGAATCTGAAGCAGGCTCCAGGCTCTGAGCTGTTAGCACGGGGCCTGACACGGGGCTCAAACCCACGAACCCTGAGATCATGACCTAAGCCGAAGTCGGAGGCTTAACCGACTGAGCCACCCAGGCACCCCATGTTTTTTTTTTTATTTTTTTTATTTTAGAGAGAGGTCACATACTTGTGTACGCATGTACAAGTGGGGGAGGGGCAGAAGGAGAGAGAGAGAATTCCAAGCTTGCACATGGGGTTCAATCTCGTGACCCTGGGATCATGACCTGAGCTGAAATTAAGAGTCCAAACCTCAACCAAGTCACTCAGGAACCCCTATTTTATATTTTATAGTTAATACTTTGAATACAATACACCTGGCTTCAATTACACAGTCATGTATGCTAACCCAATGTAAACAGACAGTCTATCTTTAATATAGCAAAGCCACAGCTTTGTTTTTTAAAAACTTTTTTTTTGTATAGCAATTTTCATATCCTTTCATTGTACTTGCAGGTAATTTTGAGCCTTACAGGTATGTACAAATATATAAACCATAGGGATGTAGAGGTTTCAAAGTGTTACCAGTGATAGCATCCAGCCTGGATTGCTGAATTCATCTGCCCTGACCCTAAGAGAGTCTTTATTATCTAGTTTCTCACTTTATACTAAAATTTTATTTGATTCATGCTCAAAATTCAGGTTTTTTCAGTCACTGAAAATTATTATTTTTATAAATCCTCTTTTTATTAGTCCTGTTTTTTTATAAATCCTTTAAAGTATATTCAGCTCTTTAAAAGAGTAGCTAAATTTATATCAGCTATATTTATATATGTTCTCTTAGATGATA